ACTCAGGGGCAGTGGGTTCAGCAAAGGCCCCTCCAGGCCTGTCTGTGAACTGATCAGTTGTGTCAGGGAAGTAACATGGGGTTGGGGGTGGCGGCTTCAAGTTTCCTGGAGAGGTGAGGAGGAGGTGGTTGCCTAGCTGCTCCCTGGGAAAGGAAAGAGCAGAAGTTGCTGATGGGCCTGGGTGACCATCTGCACCCAGGGGCAAGGGTGGGCCTGCTGTGGGTAGGCTCAGACCCTCCTGGTTCCCTGACTCAGCCCAGGGCTCCTGCCCTTCACTCTGGCCCCAGGAAATATCTATGGGCTGGACCTTGTGCTCCAGATTGGAAATAAAAGGTATGCCAAACAGTTCCTGCCCCTAGGCAGCCAGGACTGGGGAGGGAGTCAGTGGGCAAATCTTCCTGGTTGGGGAGGGGCAGCCAGGTGTAGAGGATACCCAGTCCCTGGCCGCTCCCCTCAGAGCAGGCAGGGGCACAGCAGGTCCAACCTGAGCCAAGTAAGGAACTAGAAAGAGCCCAAGGGGAGAACAAAGGGCTGAGTGCGGCCTGAGGCCAGGGAGCGGCATTGAGGTCAGGAGAGGAGATAGATCCAGAGGGGGCCTGGCATGTTCAGATTGGCATTGGGCAAAGACCTCAGCCTGCAGAGAGTGTGTTGCGAGGGAGAGGTGTACATCTGTGTGTATGCATGTGTTTGCGTGTGGTGGGTTGTGGATGCATATGTGCATCCATGGGAGGTGTGCATGTGTGTGGTGTGTATGGTGTGCATGCATGCATATGTATATGTGTGTGCATGTGTGTGTGCACGTGCATGGGGCATGCATGTGGGGGGTGTGCATGTATGTGCGTGTGTATTCATGTATGTGTATGTGTTGTGTAGTGTGTGTATTTGTATGTGTGCATGTGTGTGTGGTGGGGTGTGTATATGTGGGGGGTGTGCATGCATGTGTGTGCATGTGTATGGTATGTGTGGTATGCCTGCATGGTGTGCATGTGTGTGTGGGATGTGCATGTATGTGAGTGCACGTGTATGCTGTGCTTGCATGCATGTGTATATGTGTTCATGCATGTAGTGGGGTGTGCATGTGTGCTTAGGTATGTGGTGTGGTGTGCATGTGTGTGCATGTATGATGTGTGCATGTGTTTGGTGTGCATGCCTATATGTGTGTGTTTGCATGTGTGTGTGCATGTGCATCAGGTGGGGTGTGCATGCGTGTATGGTATGCATGGGTCTGTGTGTGCATGCATCTGTGCATGTGGCTGTGCATGCATGTGGTAGAAGGAGGAAGCTGGAAGCTGGGGCCTCCTAGGGGCCTCTTCATGGCAAGGTGGGAGATGGACCCACAGATGAGAACCAGGAGGGGCAAATTGGCTGAGAGGCCCACCTGGGAAGGCCACCTGGGAAGGCCAGAGTAGCTTGGGCAACTGGGGCTGTTTCAGGACTGGACAGTCTCTGACCAGCAAGCAGAGCCCTTCCTGAGCTGGTGGTGGGAAGTGGATACAGAAGAAATGGAGAGTTTTCTTCTGGGCTTGTGGCTGGATGCAGTGGGTGTCCAGGCCTGACTTGGACAGGGCCCTAGGGAGGGGATGGGGCTGCTGGGACCTGCCATCAGGGAGCTGTTGGCCAATCCACAGAAGAGTCAACCAAAGCAGGCCCAAAGGGCTCAGGGGGCTTTGCTAGCAGCCAGGGGGACAGGGGATGCCAGTGCAAAGCCACAGCCTCGAATACCTTCTACTTTGTATGTTCTTGGTATGGGAGCAAACGTGCGTTCTTCTGTGCTGGTTGTGTGTGGATGTGTGTTGGGCTGTGTGGGAACGTCTGAGTGTGTGCACACTCACTCATGCCTTTCTGTCCCTGCCGGCCTGGGCTCAAGGACATCACAAGCCCCAGGGGCTGCTCTCTCAGTCCTCTCCTAGGCAGCCTGCAACCACATGCCTGTGTTCTTGAGTTATGCCATTCTTGCAATGCTATAAAGAAACACTTGAGTCTGGCAATTTATAAGAAAAGATGTTTAATTGGCTCACAGCACTGCAGGCTGCACAGGAAGTATGGCTCTTGCTTCTGCTTCTAGGAGACTAGGAAGCTTTCAATCATGGCGGAAGGCAAAGGGGGAGCAGGCGTGTCACATGGTGAGAGCAGGAGCGGGAGAGAGTGTGGGGGAGGAGGTGCCACACACTTTTAAACAACAAGATCTTGCAAGAACTCACTTGTAATCTCGACGATAGCACTAAGCCATGGGACCCACCCCCCATGACCCAGTCACCTCTACCAGGCCCCACCGCAGCCCTGGATATCACACTTCAACATGAGATCTGGGCGGGGACAAATATCCAGACTATATCAGTCCCATCCACCCGAGGATGAAAGCTCTCTGGATATCCAGGTGTCAGAGGAGGTCACAGCCCCCTATGATGACTCTGTTGTGACCCTGAGGGGACCATTGCGGGCCTTTACCAAGGAGGAGCAGGGGGACACAGTGGGACACAGCCCTGTATCCCCCGCCTTGATCCATGGGAGGACCCTGGCTCCAGGAGAACCTCAGGCCTCCTTCTGTCCCCATCGAGAGGGCCCATCAGAGCTCCCTTCTCCCTCCTGCTCTCCCAGGGCCTCGAGGGGAGAGAGAAGGTCAGAGCCAAGGAAAGGTGGGGGCTCAGGACCCTCCCACAACAGAAGCAGAGACACGCAGGAACCTGCCCCAGGACACACCCAGCCCCCCGAGGGCAGGCCGAGGCTCAGGGGCTCCAAAGCCCAGGTGTCTTCTTGCTAGGTCTGTAAGATCCCTGCCCAGTAGCAGGTTGGGCTCTTTCCTGGTTGGCTCCCTGTTGCCTCCCCAGCTCAGACTGCAATGCTTGGCAAACAGCAGGCACTCTGTTCCTCACCTGTGTTGGAGGGTGGGTCCAAAGTGAGTGCCTGTCTTTTTTTTATTTTGTTTTTTTGAGACAGGTTCTCACTCTGTTGCCCAGGCTGGAGTGCAGTGGTGTAATCATACCTCACTGCAGCCTCGAACTCTTGAACTCAAGTGATCTTCCTGCCTCAGCCTCCTGAGTAGCTGGGATTATAGGCCCCCAGCCTTTTATCAATAAAAACAGGGCCTGGCCAGGCCCACCCCTCTCCTCGTGCCCTTGCAGAAGTGTCTGCATACACCCACCCCGAAGACACGGCTCATTCTTTCAACTTGTCTGGGGAAGCCTGGCTGGGGGTCTGGCCTTTGCAAAGCCCACACCACCCCTCATTCCCATCCCTCTGATCCTAGCCTCCAGAGCTTTCTCCTAAATTCCAGCCCTCCCCAACCACCCTTCTGCACAAGCAATGCCACTTCCCCAACTCAGCCTCTATTTCCCTTTTTGGGGAAGAAGGAAGCTGTGTACAAGGACCCAGGCAGCTCCAATGTCAGCAGTGGCAGACACCCTGCAGCCAGCCTTCCAAGCTGTAGGCAGGAGCATTTGGGTCACTGGGGCTGGCCCTGGGGAGGCAGGCGCTGGAGGCCACTGGTCTTGAGAAGATTCCAGAAGAGGTGGCCCTACCGCTCAGCCATGCAAGTGCCGGTGCTCGGGGTGGAGGAAGGAAATGGCAAGAGGCACAGCAGAGGTGGGCGGTGTGCGGGGTGGAGCCACACTCTGGGGTCTGCACCCCAGGCTGTCTGGGCAGCAGAAGGAAGTGGCTTTTGTCTGGTTTTACCTGTCTTCATTCAGTTGTATGGTTATTTTGAGATCCTTCATGCTATTTTTCTTGTTATTCCTAAATTAAATGCTGTTATGGACTTGCCACTGTTTTTTAATCATCCCTGTTGATGGACATTGGGGTACTTCCAGTTTATGGCTTGTGTGAACATTTGCTTACAAGTCTGTGCACAGACACAGGTTTCCTCTGGGGCAAGCCTAACGGCTGGTGTACGTTTACCCTTGAAGACACTGCCAAAGTGCCTCCCAAGAGGATTGCACCTTTCCCCTCCATCCAGCTGTGAATAAGGGTCAGGGTCTGATTTCTCCACATCCTTGCCAACACTTGCTACTCTTTGACCCTTTGATTGCAGCTGTCCCCGTAGGTGTGAGGCAACCCCTCACTGGGTTTTTTGATTTGCATATCCCCAGGATGGGTGATGTCGACAATCTTTCCAGGTACACGCTGGCCTTCCTTGTGCCTTTTTTTTTTAAAGACAGGGTCTTGCTCTATCACCCAGGCTGGAGTGTGATCATAGCAGCCTCAAACTCCTGGGCTCTAGCAATCCTCCCATCTCCACTTCCTGAATAGCTGGGACTACAGGCACACACCACTGCACCTTGCTAATTTTTAAATATTCTTATAGAGATGGGGTCTCGCTACATTGCCAAGGCTGGTCTCAAACTCCTGGGCTCAAGCAATCCTCCCACCTCCGCCTCCCAAAGGGCTGGGATTACAGGTATAAACCACCTTGCCCAGTTGTTTGTTTTTTGAGACAGGGCTGGAATGCAGTGGTGCTATCATGGCTCACTGCAGCCTCAACTTCCTGGGCTCAAGTGATCCTCCCGCCTCAGCCTCCCAAGTAGCTGGGGCCACACCCAGTTAATATTTTTAATTTTTGTAGAGATGGGGTCTTGCTATGTTGAAAAGGCTGTCCTGGTCTCAAGCAGTCCTACCGTACCCTCTCAAAGTGCTGGGATTACAGGCATGAGCCACTGTACCTAGCCAAAGTTGATTGTTAAAAAGAGCCTGGTACCAACCTCCCCTCTCTCTGGCTTCTGTCACCATGTAATTTCTTGCACACACTGGTTCCCCTTTACCCGCCCCCCCTGCTTTCCCTTCTGCCACAAGTAGAAACAGCCTGAGGCCCTTGCCAGAGGCAGTTGCTGGAGCCATGCTTCTGTGTAGCCTGTAGATCCGTGAACCAAGTAAGCCTCTTTGCCTTATACACCACCCAACCTCAGGAGTTCCTTTACAGCAATGCAAATGAGCTAAGACCCCTGCCCTGCCCAAGGCGGTCCTTTGAGCTGAGCCCTGTTAACCCTGCATCTCTCCTCTCTCTACAGCTACGAGGGAGTCAGCCTTTGTCCACGCCATTGCCTCAGCTGGTGTGGCCTTTGCGGTGACACGCTCATGTGCAGAGGGCACGGCCACCATCTGTGGCTGCAGCAGCCGCCACCAGGGCTCACCAGGCAAGGGCTGGAAGTGGGGTGGCTGTAGCGAGGACATCGAGTTTGGTGGGATGGTGTCTCGGGAGTTCGCCGACGCCCGGGAGAACCGGCCAGATGCCCGCTCAGCCATGAACCGCCACAACAATGAGGCTGGGCGCCAGGTAGGTTCACTGCCTGCAAGGGTGCTTGGGAAAAAGGAGCCTCTTCAACAGGGCGTGTGCCCTGGTTCCTTGGGGCATATGGCAGGATGGTGGCCAGGCTGAGGGTCTTCTCAACTCCTGCCTGGGGTATGCAAAGCTTAGCACCATCCAGCTGCACCACAGCATCCAATGCGCTCCTGGGGATGGCGAGCCCACGTGTGGACTGGGGTAGCCAAGAAGGAGGGAGGAGGCAAAGGCCTGGTCAACAGGAACCCCTGAAGAGCCCAGGGTTGGAGACAGCCAGGCAGCCACAGAGATGGGGAGGAATTCTGCAATGAGGAAATGCACACAAGGTGACCCGATGTTAAGGACAGTTGGCAGTAATTTAGGGGGAGGGAGGCTGAGAGAGCCTCCCAGGCAGCCTGGAGGTGAAAGACGACAAGCGACTTGGTCTGGGCAGAGTACAGAGTGTAATGGAAAAAAGAACATCTTGATGTGGAGAGGCCAACCCAGATCAAGCCGTGTAAAGCTTCGTGAGCCTGTGTCTTAGTCTGTCTGTGCTGCTACAACAAAATACCTTAGACTGGATAATTTATAAACAATGGAAGTTTAGTACTCACAGTTCTGGAGACTGGGAAGTTCAAAGTCATGGTACCAGCAGATTCCTTGTCCAGTGAGGGCCTGCTCCTCATGGATGATGCCTTCTGTGTCCTCACTCAGGGTGTGGATCTCTCTGGGGTTACTTTTATAAGGGCACCGTTTTAGGCCATTCTTGTGTTGCTACCCAAGACTGGGTAATTTATAAAGAAGAGAGGTTTAATTGGCTCACAGATCTGCAGGCTGCACAAGCTTGGTAACAGCATCTGCTCAACTTCTTGGGAGGCCTCAGGGAGATTTTACACATGGCAGAAGGTGGAGTGGTAGCAGGCACGTCACATGGGCCAGAGCAGAAGCAAGGAAGACAGAGTGGAGGCGAGGTCACCACATACAGATCTTGTGTGAACTCACTCACTATCATGAGGACAGCACCAAGCCATTCATGATGGATCTGCCCCCATAACCCAAACACCTTCTGCCAGGTCCCACGCCCAACACTGGGGATTACACTTCAACATGAAATTTGGAGGGGACACAGATCCAAACCATATCAGGCACGAATCCCATTCACGATGTTCCACCCTCATGACTTGACTTGATCGCCTTCTAAAGGCCCTACCTCTTAATGCTGTCACCTTGAGGGTAAAGATTTCTTTTTTTGGGGGGGTGGGGACACAGAGTCTCGCTGGAGTAGTGGCATCATCAGTTCACTGCAGCCTCCATGTCCCGGGTTCCAAGCGATTCTCCTGCCTCAGCCTTCTGAGTAGCTGGGACTGTGGGCGCATGCCACCACACCGGGCTAATTTTTGTATTTTTAGTGGAGATGGGGTTTACCATGTTGGCCAGGCTGGTCTTGAGTTTTTGACCTGAAGTGATCCACCCACCTCAGCCTCCCAAAGTGCTGTGATTACAGGTGTGAGCCACCGTGCCCAGCCGAGGGTAAAGATTTTAACCCACGAATTTTTGAGGAACACAAACATTCAGACCACAGCAGCTTGTTAGAAAGGACTTGGTCAGAAGATCAGTGGATTACCAAGAGAGGAAATATGGCTGATGGGCAGTGACGGGTGTAAGGACCAAGTGGCATCCACAGGATTTAGCAACATGAAGATGGCAGCTGGCCTTGGCTGTAGAATCAGGGGATCACACAGGGGTGAAGAGTGAACAGGGGATATTCACCTTTTAACAGTGAGGAACTAGATAACTCAGACTAATCTTCCTACGGAAGACAACTTCAGATGCAGGATGAACTATAAAAAGCACCCTGTTAAAAGTGTGGAGTCCCCATAAGTACCCAATTCATGATAGATGAGGCAGTGCAGTGCCATGGGAGGAATGGGCTTTTCAATAAATGGTGCTAAGTCAACTGGGTGGTGTTATGGTCTGGATGTGTCTCCCAAAATTCATATATTGTAAGCGTGATCCCCAGTGCAACAGTCTGGAGAGGGGGCACCTAATAAGAGGTGTTTAGGTCATGAGGGCCTTGCCCTCATGAAGGGACCAATGCTGCTGTAAAAGGGCTTGCAGAAGAGGATGTCTCTCTCTCTCTCTCTCTCTCTCTCACCCACCTTCCTGCCATATGAGGACATGATGTTCCTCCCTTCTGGAGGACATGGCATTCATTCAGGGTGCCCTCTTGGAAGTAGATAAACCAAGCCGTAACCTGCCAGCACCTTGATCTTAGATTTCCCAGCCTCCCAAACCATGAAAGAATACATTTATGAATTACTCAGTCTCAGGTGTTATGTTGTAGCAATACAGCATTGACTAAGACAGATAGCAACATGGAAAAAACATAACCCTGGCTTGCTACCTCACATCATCTGTAAAAATCAATTATAAATCCCAGTGGGAAAGGTAAAACAATGAAACTTTTACAAGAAAATATATAATATCTTTGTGATCTTAAGAGTAGGCAAAGGCGTCTTAAACAGTCCAAAAAACACTCACATTGAAAGAGAAGTGGAATAACATAGACTATATTCAAATTAAGAAATTTCATCCATAAAAACACACCACTATGGGATTGAAAAGGCAACCCATAGAGGAGGACACATTCACATACATACATCCACATTCACAAATGCAGCAAATGTAGAGAAGCTACGGTAGGAAAATAACTCTGCAGACTAAGAAGAAAAAGATAGACAAACCAATGAGAAAATTGGCCAAAAAATTAAAAGCCATGTTATGAAAGAAAATATAGAAATTCCAGTACCTACACAAAAGGTGCTCAATGTTATGAGTCATCAAGAAAATGCTGTGAGAATCTATGTCCTGGAAAGACAGAGAGGAGGATGGGGGTTTCTGAGACACTGGTGTTCTGGGGCAGGTAATTCGTAAAATTTTGTATATTTTGCACTTATGACACATATACTTTTTTGTATGTCTATTATACTTCCATAAAATGATTTTTAAGTGTCAAATAACTGACCATTTAGTGAGGAATTAACAGCCCCTGATCCAAGAGAAAATCCCAAGCCTGGTACCTGGGGTAGCTTTTGTCTAGGGTCCATTTGCTGACCTGGAAGAGACTACAGAGGTTGCACTGCATTTCCAGCAGACTCACAGAGCTAAGGGACCCACCAAGGGTGGGATCTCTGGTAAATCCTTCCTCAGTGTAGGCTGTGACCCTGAAGAGCAAAGCCAAGCCAGAAGTAGTCTTGCCCTGTGCACATGGGCAGACTAGAAATCTCTCAAAACCTGAACTTGGATTAAGGTAATCCCAAATTGCTGGTACTCCCATACACTGGAAAAAGCAGACAAAATCCTCTTTGGAGAAGGACGATATCCCTCCTCTAAGCCTATAAATGTTTCTATAATAATTTTTTAGAAAACACAATGTCGGCTGGGCGCAGTGGCTCATGCCTGTAATCCCAGCACTTTAAGAGGCCGAGGCGGGCAGATCATGAGGTCAGGAGATTGAGACCATCCTGGCTAACATGGTGAAACCCGTCTCTACTACAAATATAAAAAAAAAAAAAAAAAAAAGTGTGGCAGGGCATGGTGGCGGGTGCCTGTAGTCCCAGCTACTCGGGAGGCTGAGGCAGGAGAATGGTGGGAGGCAAGGCTTGCGGCCAAGATCCTTTTGCACTGCACTCCAGCCTGGGTGACAGAGCAAGACTCTGCCTCAAAAAAAAAAAAAAAAAAAAGAAAACACAATGTCCAGCACACAATCAAGATAATCTATCACATGATCTGATGATACAATGGTTTAATCAGAAAAAAAAAAAAAAAAAAACAGAAACAAGTACACAGGAAATTCAGATACTGGAATTGGCCAGAGCTGTAGACTTTGAGGGGGAAAAAAAAAAAAAAAAAAAAAACAGAAACAAGTACACAGGAAATTCAGATACTGGAATTATTAGACACAGACTTTGAGGGGGAAAATGCTGGAATTATTAGACACAGACTTTGAGGGGGAAAATGCTTACTTAGGTTCCCAAGGCTAAAACACAAGTGTGAACATTGCAGCAGGAAACTAGAAACTATAAAAAGAATATAATAGGCCGGGCATGGTGGCTTACACCTGTGATCCCAGCACTTTGGGAGGCCGAGGCAGGTGGATCACCTGAGGTCAGGAGTTCGAGACCAGCCTGACCAACATGGAGAATCCCCATCTCTACTAAAAATACAAAAGTAGCTGGGTGTGGTAGTGCATGCCTGTAATCCCAGCTACTTGGGAGGCTGAGCCAAGAGAATCACTTGAATCCAGGAGGCAGAGGTTGCGGTGAGCCGAGAGTGTACCATTACACTCCAGCCTGGGCAACAAGAGCGAAACTCCGTCTCAAAAAAAAAAAATAATAGATTTGGAAAAGAATTACATATAAATTGCAGAACAAATAAAGACTTCCAGTTAAAGATGAGAAGCTGAACACTTCCGTCTGCACTCTCCTGGAACCCACTAAAATAACAATAAATTAATTTTAAAAGAAATAGATATGTAGAGATAAATATAAATAAAATATAAATAGATATAAGTAGAGACAGGTAATAGTAGATATAGATGACAGATATAAATGGATATAAATAGTGCATAGAGATTATACATAGATATACATGCTAATATAGATAGATAAGATGTATGGATAAATAGATTAGATAGATGGATGAATAGATAGAGATGGATACTCGTGAGAGTACAGAAAATAAAGGGGAAACAATGCTAACAAAACTTTGAAAGCTAAAAGCAGATAGATGAATACTCAAGCGGACCCAAGAAAACTGAGTCTTAAGCCAGTAGAGGAGAAATTTGAGAACCAGTCTAGGAATTCCCAGTATCTGATATCTTGATAAGTTGAGATAAATATGGGACTGAAAACAGGAAGATTGGTTGAAAGGTGATTTTCAGAGTACTTTATAGCCCACTCACTCCACTACCCAACTCTTTGTAGCCAAGCAGCAGCCTCTCCTTTCCCTGTGGCTGAAGTCTGGAGGTTTGTTTTCTGCAAAGCAGAGGTGTCTGATCTGAGGGACGCCAAGCACATCTCAGAGTAAAGCTTCCAAAGTGAAAATTTTCTCTCTACATATGGAAGTTCATGCCTTTCTCTCTCCTTCTGATTTCCTAATGCTAGCTGTGAACCCTAGTTATCCTCCAGGCAAGAGGATGGAAGATTCTGCTCTGGGGACTCTGACCAACTCAAAAAAGACTTCAAGACAGTGACTTGTGGAAGGTCCCAATAAAGCAATGCAGCTAGATCACTCTATAGAGAGGACCAAGGCTGACAAGTCTCTCCCATGTACAGGAACTTCCAATAAGATTTTTAGTGTCCCATGTTTAAATATGAGCAGACAGCCAAGGATCATCAGACCTCTAAGGAAGGCCTCTAACAACAACAATGGCAGAGTCCAAAACAAACAAACTCAAACAAAATTTATGGGAAAGAGACATTGTAAAGAGAGATGAAACTTCAAAGGATGATCATTAATATCCCCAAAGAGATAAAACACTATATCCATGAAATTGGAACAGGATGGTAATTTTAAACATTCAGGTTACAAAAGAGCTCTTAGAAATTAAAAATATGATAACAGAAGCAAAAATCTTCAAATTGAAAGATAGTTGAGACACCCTCCCACAAGACAGAAAAAAAAAAAAAAAGAGAGAGAGAGATTAAAAATAAGAGCAAGGAGAAGATTTGGAGGATCTGTCCAAGAAAGACAGTGACAAACAAAAAGAGGAGGCAGTCAGCAAAGAAACAAGGCAGGAAGCTTCCTCACAACTGTGGAGCACAGGTTTCAGACCAAACAGGCCCACGAAGTGACTAGAACAACAGTAGAAAAAGATCTACTTCAAGACACACTGTTGTGAAGTTCAGAGCCTACCACACAGAACAGTCCTCCAAGCTGCCAAGGAGAATGTTTGGGCTTGATAATCAGGAATCAAACTAGTGCCAGACTTTTCAGGAGCAATAATGAAAGCTAGAAGAAAACAGAGTAATAATACTTTTGAATTCCAAGATGTAAAAATGAATTTTAAGCGAAGAATTCACTTCCCAGAAAAACTATCGATTAAATGGGATAGTAGAAAAGATTGTTTTTAGACATGGACATTCCAAAAAATTTACAATATCTTTTCTGGGAAAAAAAAATATCTGCAAGAAGATGAAATTGATAGAATAGCTGATGTGTTTGGACATTTTGAAGAGAATATTTAGATAAGTAAGGGAGAATTTGAGGCTGAATCAGTTACAGGTACATTGATAATACCAACTACAAAAAGTCATTGAGGAAAAGAAGTCATCATAATGTATGACACTTAAAGTTGTCCCAATACCACCAGCAGTGAATACTGATGTGAAATTAAGCTAGTTTTTAGGGCAGGAGTGGTTGGTGTTTGGGAAGTATACATCAGTATGGTGGAGTAAGGAGAGAAAACTAACTGCCATCCACCATGGCGAGAGGCCAATAAATAATGCCTAATGCTGAAAAATCAAGAGGTGTCAAGATAAGTGTGTTACTAGAGTTGTAAACATTGCAAGGGGCTGCATGTAGGACCAGAATTCCTGTTTATCTAAACAGGTCTTGGAAACTGTTGGACTCTCTAAAGTATGCACCTATGTAAGTTTGATCCAACATAAAACTAAAACAAAAGAGGAAATAAAATGGATATTAGATAAACTAGACTGGGCAGGGCGGGGCATATGTTACTCTGCAGATGCCCATAGGAAACAGTCAATATCAGAGGGAGGAGTTCAAGAAAGAGCCAGAAGGGGATGAGGAGGAGGCAAGATTGGGACCCAGAGCCCAGTTGAAGCCTTAGATTAGAACTGTCCAATAGAAGTAGAATGGGAGCCACAAATGGCTCATGGATTATTATAATTTGTCCCACAAATGACACAAAGATCATTATAAATTTTCTAGTAGCCACATTTAAAGAGTAAACAGGTAAAACAAGTTTTTTGGTTTTGGTTTTGGTTTGGTTTGGTTTGGTTTGGTTTGGTTTGGTTTGGTTTGAGACAGACTCTGTCCTGTAGCCCAGGCTGGAGTGCAGTGGTGCAGTCTCTGCTCACTGCTACCTCCCCCTCCTGGCTCAAGCAATTCTGCCTCTGCCTCCCAAGTAGCTGGGACCACAGGTGCCTGCCACCACGCCTGGCTAATTTTTGTATTTTTAGTAGACACCGGGCTTCGCCTCAAGTGATCCACCCGCCTCAGCCTCCCAAAGTGCTGGGATTACAGGCATGAGTCACCCTGCCCGGCCAGAAACAAATTTTAATACTAAATTTTATTTAACTCAGGATAGCCGACATGCTATCATTTCAATAATGTAGTCAGTATTAAAATTATGAATGAGTTGTTTCCCATCCTTTTTGTACACTAAGTCTTGGGAATCCAGCATGCAGTTGGCACTTATAGTACTTCTGAATTTGCACTGCCATGCCTCACGGGCTCCTGTCTGGCCAGTGGCTGCCACAGTGCAGTGCCACCTAGACTGTTCTGATGTTCACATGCCCCTTTACACTCACCCCCACCCCTTCCCCAAAGAAAGAAGGGAAAAGAAGCTGAGTTCTCCACTGCCCGTAGGAGAAACCAATTTGCTCCTCAGCCAGGTCCTGCCCCATCCCCTCAGGTAAGGACGTCCCCTTACGTCCCAACATTGCCTTCCTCTTCCTCTGTAGTACCCATACAGTGACCAGCTTCTTGGGCCACTCTTATTACTCATGCTCAGGACTCCTGCCTTTCCACCAGGCCGTATACACCTCCTCTGGGCAGCGTGCCTGGGTCCTCAGGGTCAGAAGGAACGCCTATCCCCCTGCATCCCTGCACTCTGACTGCCGTGGCTCTTCGTGTATGGCATCCCACGCTGCAACTCTGTCCTTCCTTCACTCCACCCTAGACAGTGTAGAAGTACTCAGCTAGGAGACGGGGACAGGGGAGCCCCCCAAGCCCTGACCTGGGAAGGCTTGGGTATGGCAAGGGAGCAGGCACCAGTATCTGCACCATAGGAAGGGGGTGGCCCTGGGGCCCTGTCTGGGAGTCTGCCCCCTCTGCCCGGGGACTTTATGGAGCAGGTGGGCTGCGGGCGACATGTAATGCTGTTTCCTCGGGGAGGCGCACCAGGGGGCCGCCCTGACGCTGGCTCCTGCGCGTGCCCCGCAGGCCATTGCCAGCCACATGCACCTCAAGTGCAAGTGCCACGGGCTGTCGGGCAGCTGCGAGGTGAAGACATGCTGGTGGTCGCAACCCGACTTCCGCGCCATCGGTGACTTCCTCAAGGACAAGTACGACAGCGCCTCGGAGATGGTGGTGGAGAAGCACCGGGAGTCCCGCGGATGGGTGGAGACCCTGCGGCCGCGCTACACCTACTTCAAGGTGCCCACGGAGCGTGACCTGGTCTACTACGAGGCCTCGCCCAACTTCTGCGAGCCCAACCCCGAGACAGGTTCCTTCGGCACGCGCGACCGGACCTGCAACGTCAGCTCGCACGGCATCGACGGCTGCGACCTGCTCTGCTGCGGCCGCGGCCACAACGCGAGAGCGGAGCGGCGCCGGGAGAAGTGCCGCTGCGTGTTCCACTGGTGCTGCTACGTCAGCTGCCAGGAGTGCACGCGTGTCTACGACGTGCACACCTGCAAGTAGGCACCGGTCGCGGCTCCCCCTGGACGGGGCGGGTCCTGCCTGGGGGTGGGCTTTTCCCTGGGTGGGGCAGGACTCTCACCTAAAAGGGGCAGTACTCCTCCCTGGGGGCGGGACTCCTCCCTAGGGGTGGAGCTCCTACCTGGGGGCAGAACTCCTACCTAAAGGCAGGGCTCCTCGCTGGAGCCAGTGTCTCCTCTCTGGTGGCTGGGCTCCTCCTGAATGAGGCGGAGCTCCAGGATGGGGAGGGGCTCTGCGTAGGCTTCTCCCTGGAGACTGGGCTCCCCAGGACAGAGGCGGAGCTACATGGTGGGCGGAGCTTCTCCTGGGTGGGACAGAGCTTTTCCTGCGAGGGCGTGGCTCTGGGTGGACGGGGCACTAGGTAGGCTTCTACCCGCAGGTGGGGCTCCTCCTGAAGGAGGCGGGGTTCTAGGATGGGGCAGGGCTCTGGGGTAGGCTCCTCCCTGGGGGCGGAGCTCCTCCTTAGGAGTGGGGTTTCATGGTGGATGGGGCTTCTGCCTGGAGGGGGCAGAGCTTCTCCTGACCAGGGCAGGGCCCCTTCCATGCGGACTGTGGCTCTGGGGGGCGTGGCCTGCATAGGCTCCTTCCTGTGGGTGGGGCTCCTCTGGGACAAGGCTCCGATGGGGCGGGGCTTCTCTCCGCGGGTGGGACTTCCCTGGGAACCGCCCAGGAATCTGGGATCCAGAGCAGGGAATTCAGCCCACTAGCTCCCTCCTCCCCAATCACCTGTAAGGTTCCATCCACTCCTGTGTCTAGTTGGGAAGGTTCCATGAAGCGAGTCGGGTCCCCAACCCGTGCCCCTGGGATCCTAGGGCTCCTCTCCAAGCGCCTGGTTTTGGAATGCTCCAGGCGCGCCGACGCCTGTGCCACCCCTTCCTCTGCCTGGGGTTTGACCACCCACCTGACCAGGAACCCTACTGGGGAAAGCCTGAAGCGCCTCCCAGCCCCCAACCCCAAGACCAAGCTCGGTCCTGGGAGAGGACCGGGGCTTCGCGGAGGCAAGTGACTGAGGCCCTCCCAAAGAGGTCCGCCCTGCCAGGGCTACCACACCGTCAGGTCCTCCTCCTAGGGAGCCGGCCTGCTGCGCCCCAGGCCCCGCCCGTCTCTGCGCTACTCAGCTGCGCCCTCTTCTTTGCAGCTGCCCAGCCCCTCCTCCCTGCCCTCGGGTCTCCCCACTTGCACTCCATCCAGCCACAGGAGAGATAGAAGCCTCTCGTCCCGTCCCTTCCTTTCCTCCGCCTGTCCACAGCGGGGTCCAGTCCCCCAGGCTGCCCAGAACTGCTGGTCTCATTTGGGGGCTGTTCGGAGGTTTGGGGGGTATCACCCCCCCTTCCCCACTGTGCTGCTCGCGAAGGTCCCACAGCCCTGAGATGGGCCGGCCCCCTTCCTGGCCTCTCATGGCGGGACTGGAGCAAAGGTCCGCTTTCCTGGAGCCAATGGCCCGGCCCCTCCTAACTCATCTGCCTGGCCCCGGAATGAATACGAGGCCGCTGAACCCACCCGGCCCATATCCCTGATTGCCCCATGGTCAGCGCGCCTCAGCCTCTGCCACTGTGAACCGGCTCCCACCCTCAAGGTGCGAGGAGGAGACGCGGCCAGGCGGGGCGCCCCAAGAGCCCAGAAGAGGGGACACCGCCATCCTCTGCCTCAAATTCTGCGTTTTGGTTTTAATGTTATATCTGATGCTGCTATATTCACTGTCCACTGGAGTTAGACGAATAGATGTGTTGTGTTTTTTTTTTCCTTTTCTTTCTATGAAAGAAATTATTTTAGTCATAGCTTGTGAGTTTCAAACAATGGGAAAAGTGAAAAAACAGAAACAAGCCATCAAGGCTGTGGTCTGGGCTGGATTTTTGGTGATGGGTCAGCACAGTGTTGAGAGAGTTGAGAAGATGCCTACTCAGGATCTCAGGGCCTGGGTCCAGGGGCAGGGGGATGCCCCAAGGCCATGATGGGTAGGGGACCTCCAGAGCTGGAATTCCAGGTGGAAGGAATAAAAATAGCTAAGCTGAGGGACTGGCCACTGGCACCAAGGCCTGCAGTGGGGTAGAGCCTCTAATAGGGAGACAGCAGCAGGCACCTGGAGTCCCCAGGTAGGTAGCCCTAAGGTAAGGGGCTTGGCTGAGCCCCCAACAAGTCAGAGCAGCAGGATGCCCACCAGAGCCCATACTCACTCAGCTGACACCCCAGAGCCCATACTCACTCAGCTGACACCCCAGCACCAGCTATGGACGTGCCCCCAACTCTCTGGGTTTGCGGACAGTGGCAGGGTGGCTGGTGGCCTCTAAGTGTAGGATCAGCTGGATCCAAGCAGGACCTTGGGATGGGGCTGGCCATAAGGAGTTCTTCTGGGATCCTCACCTCGTACGGTTGTGCACAGTGGTGACCTGCCTGTGGGAGCCCCCATCTCCTTTCCCCAGCCAAGGAAGGCAGGGAGAGCCCCTGCAACAGGTGAGCCATCCTACTGACAGGAGCCCTCATGTGGCCTCACTAGGGGTGCTGGGTGTGCCTTTGGAAACAGGAAGCAGGGGCCCAAGGGCTGTCTCAAGGCCATGCCTTCCCCATCCCAGCCCCACCAAGGATCTCTGCTCCACTCTCTGCCCTCCCATGCCTGCCCGGTCCCTGTGCCCATCTCTGGGCCCTGTCTGGATGCCCAGCCAGACCTTCAGGGCAGTGAATGCCAAGGGAAAAAGCCATGGAGGTGGAGCAACCAGTGCACTTGCCTGAAGGCCAGGCCCAACACAGCCACCATACTCAGGCCATGTGCACGCCAGCAGGGAGCCAGGCCTGAAGAGAACAGGAAGGGCTGGCCATCCTCCGGTGTGCCCTGTGGTAGGAAGCGGGGGTCAAGGCAGCCCCAGGAGTAGGGCGGGTGCACCAGCATCCTAGGCATGGAGGCCATGAGAACACAATCTCCCGGCCCCAAGAGCCAGAGACGGGCCAGCCCCAGGCAGGAGCATGATCCCTCCAGGCACAGTGTCCCCTGACCCTGCCAGGCACCTGCCATCCCAGACCGGGAGGGCACAGGCTCAGGGCATGTAGCTCAGGCTGGGCAGAGGGGCCTGAGGGACTGCTGACCTCCCTCCCCACACCCTCGCTCCAAGGTGCCCTCATGGCTGCCCAGCAGGACACCCTCTCTAGGCCACATTGGGCCTGGCTGCCCTCTCTGGGCGCTATTTTCAAGCTACAGGCTTTGCTCCTCACCTTTCTGAGTGGTCCACCAGAAGCCTGGCCTTCCCAAACCCCCTACCTGCCCCTCACTACCCACTCCCCAGGACCCCTTGGTCCTGTGTCCCAGCCACCTCCCTGAGGCTACAGATCCAGCCTGGCCCCCACCAGGGCCCTGCTCCTCCCCACCCCAGGTCAGGTCTTTCCACCCCACTCAATGCCCAGGGCCTCCTCACAGTGCTGGCATAGTGGGGCAACATAGCACCCACAGAGCAAGATAGCATGCCGCCCTCTAGCATACCCTGATTGCTGCACAGGACTCCTGCCCAGGTCTGGCCACTGCCCAACCCCTGCCTGCAGCAGCCATGCAGAGCCTCATGAAGCAGAGGCCCCTGCCGAGGACAGTCAAGGAGGCCAGGCCTAGGAGGGGATGAGGGCTGAAGTGTGGCTGCTGGGGTGGTTGTGGGGAGGGAGTGCTTCTCCAGAGCCACCAGCCACGGGAGCACAGAGCTACCCAGGGCCTGTCAGGACCAGGGGAGAAGGGACCCGGTCCAGGGCTCTGGAGGTCAGATTCCCCTCTCCATTACCTCCCAAAACTGTGCATCAGCTTCGAGGTCTGGTGGGCACCCCAATATCACTCCCAGCCATGGCCTCATTGTCTGGGGCTCTGACGCCCATCCCAGGCAGGTCACCCACTGCTCCAGGGCAGCTCTGACCTGCCATAGGCAGGGCAACTGGAATTCCCAGGGGGGCCCCAGGGGGGCAGCTGTGCTGCTGTCTACAATGAGGGAGGCAGTGACTAAGGACACAGGACCCTTCTCCCCCGTGGTGCATCACCAGTGAGGGGACCCCAAGCCCGCTCAACCCGCCAGGCCCTCCTGAGCAATAGCCATAAAGCATCAGTCCTTGGGGGAGGGCAGCACCCGACAGGAGCCCCTGGTCAGCCCCGGCCCATGGGCACCATGCCTCTTAGTCAGGACCCAGGGCAGAGCCACCCTAATTGGCACCTACTGGGCCCCAGTGCTGGGGGCATTGCAGATGAAAGACACTGACCCAGCCGGGAGGCAGCTGGGCAGGCAGAGGGCGTGAGAGTGTGGGGCCACCTGGGGGCTTGAAGCTGAGGTAGGCCCCAGAGGCCCCAGAGAGATCCCCAGCACCCAGGCTCTATCTCCACTGCTGGGGTCCAGAGAGGGGATGGTGCTGGCCTGAGGACACACAGCCTGCTGGAGACCCAGGGGGCCATCTGGGTGGAGAGCCCAAGGTCCCGTTGCAGGCCGGGTGTGAAGGACCACTGTGAAGATGGTCTCAGCAGTCCTCATCCCCATGGTGGCCCTAGCACAGACAGAGGGTGACCCCACAAGAGGTCCTGGATGTGTCTCTGAGGAATGGGGTGCAGCTGGTCTGCAGCCCCTGGGGCCATAGGACACACCCCAGTTTATAGGCGATGGGGCTGGGAGGTAAAACCCTCAACTCACCGTGTGTAGGAGCAAGCCCTGTCCCTGCCTGGGCTTCAGTTTCTCTTCTATGCAAAAGGCAGGGAGCCAAGGGAGGTCTTCCCTCTCAAGGGCCTGCTGGCCTGGGCTGCTGCACCTGGTGCATGGCCTCCCTCACCTGCCAAGGGCAAGCATCACCCTCAGAGCCCCAGCCCCCAACCCCCCAGAGCCTGCAGGCCTCCAAGTCAGTCTCAGAAGCCACCCCCCAGGGCGTTTACAGCCCATCCTGCCCACCCGCCCTGCAGAAGGAGGAAATGCGCCTGGTGGGCCTGTTCACAGGTAGTTGAGACAGGACAGGAATAACCATATAAAAGGCCCGGAGGTGGTAGGGCCCCACCCCACCAGGGCTCCCCTGCCCAGCCCCCTGCACATCTCACCCTGTGGGCTTTGAAGTCCCAGAGGGGTGTGGCTGGCCCTCACCTTGGGCACCCCTCCTCTCTCTGACACCCCCTCCCCACACCTACTTTCAGGATCCTGGGGCCTCAGTTTTCTCCCTTCAAGGAGGAGCCTGGAGGCTGCCAGCCTGGCCTCCCCAGGACACTGGGACCGCAGTAGGCAGGTGCAAGGCCAGCTCCAGGTCCCCATGCCCAACATGGGGTGGGGGTGAGGCCCTACTTACTGATTGCCCAGTGCCCATCCCAAGCGCTGAGCCTGGGCTGGGTGTGCCCCGAGGCCCTGCCGGTCCTGGTCCTTGCCCCTGCTCCATCATGGGTCCTCTCTGGGCCATGCTGGGTTGGTGGGGGCCTGAGAGGCCCATCAGTGGAGATGGCCCCTCCCCTCTCAACCGGATT